GAAAATCACAACATGTTTGCAAGAGTCACGGGGATCTGTACTCAATTCAGATGCAACGGCTCAAACCATTGTGCAGCACAGCCACTGTGGGAGGAAGAGAAAAAAGTAGTTAGACTGTCTGGAAGGTCCATTAAATGTCTTTAGTGGAACTAAATATGGGCCCTGAAAGGAAATTATGAATCCAAACACCACCAGACTTTGGGGAAGATTGGATCGGCATCTAATCTCTTTTATGGGGTGAACCAAAACCCACAGATCCAATCGCTCTTGAACTTTGGGGAAGTTCAGAGCTGGGAGTTGGCTTCAAACTTTGCAAATGGGCCTCTCTCTCGGGACAAGAGAATGCTACAAAAAGAGATGTATGATCTTTTTAAAAAATCTTGGAGCCAGATTCCTCCCACATCTTAACAGGATATGATGAACTGCCACTGGAATCACAGTGGGGGACTCCCATTCATCCCTCCATTTGGATTTGCCCTGCAGAGGAAGGACTGGGCCTCATTACTTTTGCACAACTTTGATTTGAACAATGAAAACCCTCATAAAAAAAAAAAGACATGAAATCTTAGTTCACCCTCTGCCTGTGCAAGAATTGTTCCCTGCTGTGCATTTTCTAGTGCTTTGCTCCACTTTGAAAGAAGAGAATGAAAATACCCATAAGGATATCATCTCCTAGACAAATGGAGGCATTTTGAATAAATTCTTTCACTGTATGTGTGATAAGTGTTCATTCTCTGGAAGAACAACTATTGGCTTAGGAAGGATTTTAGTAAGAGCTTTTTGTCTGAAAATCTCTCTTCCACTGTGGAATCTTCAGTAAGTCTCTTGTTTGAATCGCTATTACATTTGTTTATAAAGCTCATAATGGATTTCCTGAGGAAATATGTTTTAATTGTGACCAGTCATTGCAACAGTTTAACCATAGAGTAGTTTGATGTAACTAGCCTTACCTCAGCCAAAGAGAGCTGGATGACTCCATTCTTGTCTTTGTCTAGGAGCTGGAACATTTCTGAAGAACAAAAGAAGGGAAGAAATAAAATATAAGTAACACAGTGTCTGACAAAATATGGAGGCCTCCCACCGTGGCCTATTCAAATGTGGATTCAGGGGCAAATTCTGAGTCACAATTGGGTAGGAGCATTACAAACCATTTCCCTCCCTTCCTCTTAAGTATCATTCATAAGCCACTGCATGGGATAGCATATCAGGCGGGACCCACTATGACACATTCTGTGTTCAGAACAGGACAGCCACAAACTGGCCATTTCACATGATATGTAGGGATGCACCCATGAATGTGAGATCTGACCCAGGCCGAGATAAGGTAAAGTATATCACTAGTGTGAGATGTTTAGTGTGGGGGCAGAGCACTGGAAACATAGTGCACGTGATTATAAGTCATAGGAGGATTAAGAAAAGTGTTTCACCATCTTGGAAGAATCCCCAATGGTCAGTCAAATGGAACAGTTAACATTAGACGGCATTCATTCAAAAGAGTAAATGAGTTCTCCACTTTTGTCAGCCCATCTCTATTAGCAATCCACAAAAGAATCAGACTGTCCTTGATCTATTATTATACTGGGTGTTTCTTCAGAATTTACAAACGGAGGTTAGATGGCTCCTTTTCCTCTCTCCCATAATCCTATAGTACAACAATCTAAGTGGTTGATTAGATACAAAATCTGATTTTATAGCCATACAAACCCATGAAACTCCTTCACTGCCCCCAAACAAAAGCATATTCTAGATTTCCACCGTCTTCTCAATGTGAACATTGAGTTTATTTTTAATGAACCAAGTCTCGGTACAAGAGAATAATCTGCATCCTTGACCCTTTTACAGACAAAGAGCTTTGAACTGGTGCTGGGCAAACCTTAAAAGGGTTCAGAGGTTCATTTGAGATAAATGGCACCCAGAAATCATTTTAACAAGTTAGAGAAGTTGGTTTGGTTTCGGTTTGACTTTAAGGTGAAGATTTGGGCCAGTTCTTATTTTTATTGGAACAGCTTTCACCTTCCCCATTTTGAAGCTCTGCCATTCTCAGAACTCATTGGAGTTTCTAAATACAGTGTGGACTAGAGAACTGAGGAAAGGGCAGGCCATGGTGGAAAGCCTCCAGCCTGGATACATTTGGTTAGCTGAGCTAGGGATTCCTAACTCCTATTCCCAGTTCTGCCCAGTGGCTTGCTGGTTGGCTTGAGGCAAGTCTCTTAACCTCTCTGTGCCTTCCTTTCTTCACTTCTGAAATAGGGCTAATGAGGGTGCTGTGAAGATTAAAGAGTTATGGCTTGCAAAGCTCAGAGGGACAGATTTTTAAAGATATAAAGTGCCTAAAGATGCAGATAGGTGCCTAGTGAGATTTTTCAAGACAGCCTAGGCACCTAACTCCCATTGAAAACCCCACTAGGCACCCATCTACATCTTTAGGGACCTAGTGCCTTTAAAAATGTGTCTGTAAGTGCTAATTTACGGCTAGATTGCACAAGCCTTACTCATGTGGTTGAGTATTTACTAACACAAATAGTCTCACTGAAGCCAGTGACCTACTTGCATAAGTAGGAAATTCTTCCAGGGCGAGTAAGTGCTCCACAATCTAGTCCATGACTATTGTCTAGAAGAAAGATGATTAAGGTTTGGATCTGGACTGAATTCCTCCAGCTTTTGTCTGGGGCCTTCTCTATTGGTTTGCGAAGCAGATCCAGTTTTGCTGGCTCCCTTACACTTCCACACAGTGCTCTGCACTCAGCACTCCAATTTAAACAAAAACACCAAGCACTGAACAAACCTCCCCTCCCCCCGCCCCCCAATGCTCAGCAGTTCTGCTCAGCGGCTGCGAAAGAAGGAACTTACTGAAGAGGGTCTCTAGGCGGATCATGCAGGCCACAAAGCCGTCAAAGTCAATGGTCATCTTGCTGCAGGCATAGCGGTGAGCAATGATGTTTTGCACCTTATTGTTGAGAGTGAAACCTGAAAGCACAGAAATCACTCAAGCAGCAGTTACATACACTCTTTAACGCAGGTTGCACATGGAATTTTGCAGCTGCAGAAAGACGTGGCTGAAGGATTATGGGCTATTCCCCCTAGAAGCGTTGTTGGTCTCCATTATCTCTACTGTGTATTCTCCTTTCTATAGCCCATTATGCTATGGTGGAGACAGGCGTAATTCTCCTTCCCAAAGCCTTGACAAATTGCATATGTTCCACTTGTTCTGCAGAGTTCCTTAGCCCTATATTCCCGCGATAAGCACCTAATTAATAAGACTTACTGCACTCCTGGGGCCCCAGCCAAACAGCAGCAATTGCAGCAGAGTCCATTACCTACATAACACGCAGGCGTTGAGTTTTCGGGCTTGATTTAGGCTCATGTTAATGAGACGTCTGCTGGCCTAATCCAGAGCGCAGGGACCCAACCACAGAAAGTCCACCAAGAAAGAGTTTGCAGAGATACAAATCATCCACAGAAAAACTGCTCCTGCAGGGGGTCCAGAACTGGCCAGCACCACCCCAGAAGTGGACAGTATGGCCAGGGGATATATATATATATATGGAGATCAGGAGGAGAGAGGCGAGTCAATGATGTCACCATGATTATGAGGCTAGGAGGCAGGAGGGATAGTGGACTAGTCAGAATACCTTAATATTTTCATTTTTTTAAAATACGGAATACCACATTAGGGCATCCTTTCTACACAGGATATTTACCTGCTTCCTTGAGGGCATTTCGCATCTCATGAGCATCTATGGTACCAGAATAGTCAGTATCCACTTTCTTATAGATCTCCTGCAGCAGAAGAAAGAGACAGTTAGCCTGTTAGGAGCCCTATCTGACTGGCTGGGAGATGCATTGCTACTGCCAGCCAATGCATCTTTTCTCTGAAAGCGTTAATGACTGAAGGAAAAATTTCAATTAGCTAATGGCAAACTGTGCCCTGGGAAACCATTCCCAGTGGTCTGGCAGCTTGCCTGTCGACATGTTGTGCTGTGGCAAATAGGCCCTTGAGGAATATCCCTCTCATTTAGCAAACACTGTAATATGCAACTTCCATTTGGGTTAGCACTTCAAAAGAAACAACAGGCCGTTCTCACAGCCAATTGATCCGCTAGCCGGCTCTCGCTGAGTAATTAGAAACTATTCTGGCCTGCAGCTCAGAGGGGAAACTGGGCTCGGGGCATGTTTTCATTTACACAGGTCATCTAATCATTGCATGCCGGTGATCAGCATGTATCCAACCTGTGAGGATCTGAGCACCTCCTCCTTGGCTTCAGTGGGAAAGGAGGGAGCTGTGCCCTTCACAGGAGCAGGCCTGTAATGGGACCATCCCAAAAGCTTATCTTCAAGGGGCATTGTCAAGTAGATTAGGTTTAAACTTTGGCCTTCTTTAAATGAACTCTACAGAAAATCCTCTGGATATTAAATTCTCTATAAGAAAAAAAAATGCATTTTCATGGAGACTGTGACACTGCACCCCATATTCGTCATAGTAATATTATTATGATATAATTATGATGCATTTTGTACAAGATAAGTCATGTGAGGTGTGATTGGAAAAGTTATGATTTGCTGAATAATATTATCCTGTATGTATGCATGTATCATTTTTGTATCTGAAGTTATGAATACAGTAACTCCTCACTTAAAGTCAGCTCGGTTAACAAAGTTTCGTTGTTATGTTGTTGATCAATTACAGAACATGCTTGTTTAAAGATGCGCAATGCTCCCTTATAATGTCGTTTGGCAGCAGCCTGCTTTGTCCACTGCTTGCAGAAAGAGCAACCCATTGGAGCTAGCTGGTGGGGGCTTGGAACCAGGGTGGACTGGCAGCCTCCCCCCGCCCCCATCAGCTCCCCGCTCCCCTAAGTTCCCTGTGCAGCAACTGCCTAGCAGGCTATCAATTGCCGGGCAGTTCAGCTGTCCCTCCACCCACTGCCATGTGCTGCTCCTGCCCTCTGCCTTGGAGCTGCTCCCAGAGACCTCCTGCCTTGCTGTGGGG